AGAGAGAGAGAGAGAGAATAATAAAAATCATTTTAACATTTCCTCCTATTTATGAGGTACACACATCCGTGGCCTAAAATCCCTGAATAACGCCTTTGATTCTTCCACAGTTATCTTCAGAAGTGGTGGATGAATCACACAGTGCCTAGTCAGTATAGAAATACCCAAATAAAAAAAAGCTTAATCTTTGATCTCATCTTCATAGGAGTCAATGCCCTTCTGGGGAAAGGAATTTCTTTATGAGCAAAACAAATTAACAATGTTCAGGAACCAAACAGGACAAACCATAAAGTATCTCAAGAGAGAGCTGGGGTGGGGGGGCTTGGGTTAACTATTAAATGGCATTAAAGCTTTAGACTATTGTTTAAGGTATAGATTGGCTCAGATTCAATTTTCAAAGGGATGCTGGGTTTCTACACTCCACCGGGGCCGCAGAGTGATTACATTTGTTTAAAATTCACAGCGAAAAAGACAATAACTCAGTGAAATGTTCCACAGTACATTTCCTAAATTAGACATTATCACTGATTATATTCTAAACTATGAAGCAGCAGCAAGAACATCTGTAACATCTCAAATGATGTGCTGGTGCCCCTTCCCTTTCCACTCTAGGAATTTAGCTTTTGAAAGAGTAAAATATACTTTGGTCAAATGGAGTTGGCCAGACTATGTTGGGGCTTAGCCTATAGGCCTTCAGCTCATCTGCCTTGCTGACAGAGTGACGTAGTGGGAGTCTGCAGTTAAAGGACCAAGCCTGATATAGACACTTGTTTGCCATTATTAGATGAAAGGCATAGCACAACAGGTCATGCAGCAAGGGACAGCTCACAGCAAGGTCTGTGTTAGCCCTAGCTGGTTTCTCTCATGAATACACATTACATCGGTGCCACAGAGATCACTGGGTACTTATTTATGAAAAATAAGTACCCAGTGATCTTTCAAAGTGTCCGTATGCCATTTAGTAAACCTGCCACCATTTGGCAGAGTCATCTTTGAAACATCTTTTAACAAGCGAATCCTCTGCTGAGCATTCACTCTAGTTGTTCATTCCTACCATCTGAAACAATCCACACCAAAACTACTTTGCTAGTGTGAGAATGAAGTCATAGCTTTGAGCCATTGGATCAGTGTTTGAGCCATTGGATCAGTGCATGGTATTCTATGGCCTTCATAGCCGCCAGATTTCAACCCAACTGAGCAGCTGTAAGACCTTTTGGACCAGGATGTTAAATAACGCAGTTCACTGTCCTAATCACGACACCATGTGGGGGAATATATTTAAAAAATGGTCATCAGTCCCTCTAGAAGACAGGCACAATGGGTCACTGCGAGGTATTCTATGACCTTCATAGCTGCCAGAAATAAACCCAAGAGAACAGCTATAGGACCTTTTGGACCAGCGCATTAAAAAATGCCATCCACTTTCCTGTTCTGACTGATTCTGTCCACTGGTTATTCCTTCAATCTGTCACTCATTTCTAAGTCATCTGCAGCTTTCTGGAAAGAAGCTTAAATTAAGATTCAAAATCAGAAATCTGTGCAATCTAATCTGAGCTGGAGCCATTTTACAGTGAACAAAGTCCAGGCAGCTGATCAGAAATTGTTTGTTTTTTTTAGTTCAGCTAATGTGGTGGTGGAGGTTATTGCCGTCAGACAAATTCCTCGCATACAGCATATTCAGTATCTGCTACCGTACATGAATCAGTTGGCTTTGGAGAAGAGTTGGGGCATGGGAACGTTGTCTTGCTCTTGATGAATAGAAAAAAGCGCAAATAAATGCAATCATAAGACTTCACAAGACAAACTGCCGTGCCAAAGAGAGCTTTTTGATAGTAAATTTGATTATGTGCATTCATCAGAGTTATCTTTGGCCACGAGATGATCAGGCTCTTTAGTCACTCATATGTCTCAGACGTATGTGTTCATCACATTGTAAATGATTCAGTGAGCAAGACAATGTGGATTTTAAGGGAATTTCCTGGTAATCACCTCTAAAGCCAACAAAATAACTCTGTGCGATGAGAAGATATACTCTGTGATATGGATTACATAAATGCAGATATTTGATTAAAACATTAATAGGATCCAGGCTGCTCCTGTTTTTCTATGACTAAACATTCTCAGGCCAAACCCCACTTCAGCTGCTCTGGCAGCAACCACATCGTTTAGCCAGTGAGTGGGTCTGTTGGGGGCGTGAGAGGGTGACAGACATTAAATCAAAGTGATATGTGGAACTGATTATCAAGTAATGTGCTCTAGGTGTCACCATAAAGTGGCTCAGAAGGAGGCATTCTGAGAGCTCATTACAGCAGCTTTATTCAAAAACTAGGGGCTGACAATCAACCCACATGCAAATCACTGGCAATCACTTGAGACTGTACTTTACATAAAACACCTCTGATACTCGGAGATACTGGAAGCGATCAGCAGCAAATATAGTTGCATATATTAAGAATGTGGCCTAGTTTCATATTTGTTCAGTTACTGTTTGTGGTGATTTTTCTTGTTTTGCTTCTTGATGTGTCCTTGTAGTGCGTGCCCTTGGTGATTTTAATCTGTAATCATACCAGAATCTAAGGCAAATAAACAGCCAGATATTTGCTGTCAGTGCCACACATAAAGAGAAAAAAAGGAAGCGGGAAATAAAAAGGGGGAAAAAAAAGCTAAATCCTTGTTTATCATAGCAATGATGACACTAAAAAAATGAAAATAAGTAAATAAAACGCTTAAAATTTAAATAAATTTAATGTAAGTGTTGTATGTTCAACTAATTTGCAAACAGAAATATAACTGAGGGCAGGTTACCCACTTCCTCACTGTATGTTCTGTAGTTATTTATGAGCTAAATAACTGCCATATTATTTATGTAGCTACAGTTTATTAATGCCCAAGCATCAGATCCCCAGCATTAGCTTAAATAGTCACTTTTCTGACTATTTTCGATGCTAATGCTCTCAAAATTTTGAGGCCACATCCCTTTGTATAAACCTCGTAAATGATGCCTTCAAAGTGATTATGAGGAGAAACGCGACTGCTACTGGAGCGCTCGCTTGGACTCGCTCCCTGGGAATCACGCTCTGCGCCCCCGTGATGGGAAGCGCGTCTGTACGCAGAGCGAACACAAGTAGGACAAGCCATGTGTATCACTGGGTATCAAACCGTTCCGCACAGACACCCTATCTTGTGTAAACATTACCAGCCTCGTTAATGATAAATCAGTAATGAGCCTCACCTATCAAAGGTTTAGGTGTTGAATTTCCCATTATATCCAGAAATTTCTCGCGCCGGCTGACAACTTAATCCCGATTGCAGTGCTTCTCTGTCCATCCATGTATCACGGGTCTGCTGAATATTTGCCTGGACCTGCTTCAGTCTTTAGTATCAGTGCCTTCCGATCGCTCTGTACCTCCCCGCTGGACCACCGACACGCTCTTCTTAATGTCAACAGCAAGCGCTGCGACAGGCAGATACCTCCAACTGGCGCACAGCAGCCCCCTCCTTTCTTTAGTACGGGCTCCCCTCTGCACGACTTTAAAGACACAGCGAGCATAGACCCCCCCCCTCTTCAAAAACATCTCAGAGCCTCTTAATAATTAATCGTGATTAAATCACCGCTATCATGAAGCCCCGTGGGCGTGTAGCCTTTAAGACAAACAGTATGTTTGATAGAGATGCAAAAGGAGAGTCTGTTGAGATATTTGCATATAATAACTGCATGCTAGAAAGTTTGGCAACAATAAAATGACTCCATCATGGCTGTTTAACGGATGTGGCGGTAGTAGTGGCAGGGGGTGGGGGTGAATTAATCTACATAAAGTTAACAGATAGATTGATAGATAGCAAAACTGTAAATCACAGAACCCTAAAGCAATATACACACCAATGGCAAGGGGAGCGACCCAGATTTTATCACTCACTCATAGAGTGCACGGCAGATAAGGATTCCACACTTTTGATAAAAGTCCAAGCATTGTATGAGGAAATCCCCTTTTTCCCCACCCTATCCTCTGTCCTCCCACAGCCTTGACTGCTGTGCTTCTCTCAAGCTGTTTCCTGTCTTCTGGACCGCACTGCTCTCTGAGGAGCCATGGCCTGCAGGGCTTGTAGGAATCAGAACATCAGTGAAGGGGGAGCTAGGAAAGCATGAGCATTACAGAAGCCCGAGGTGCAGCAGCAGCAGCAGTGTGACAAATATCATGAACAGAATCTGTTCTTGAAGAAATGGAAATGCATGAATATTTATGCTCGCAAATGATACGTCCTAGACGTCACCATCATGGCAGTGACTAATTGGAAAGCATGGCAGAATTAGGTGGTTCGTGTGTGCGGGTTGACTGTGCTGACAGTCAACCCGCCAATTTGCAAAGGGATGGGGGGGAGAAGTGCCGCTGGTTTCTGGTAGATGACAACATGGTCATATTTGATCTAACTCAATCTGAGGGCAAGCAAGCCTTGTGTGAGATGGTGTTTGGGTGAAGGCAGACTGTAACTAAATATAACTCAAAGACAAAAGCGTTTGTTTCTTGCTCCTCAATGCTGTTTGTTTTAGCAGGATATGGTGGCTCCTTATAAGCGCCTTAGTGAATGGTGTAGGGGGTGAAGCGAAGCAGAAGTGAAATTCCCCCTGCCCTCACCCTTGCCTCCAAAAAAAGAGTTGCTACAGCAAAGGGATTAACAAAGGAAGTGAATATGAGGCTGCAATGAGTTCTGCAATCAAGTTTAACTGTAAACACAACAGAGCTGCAGGAACAAGTGCTGCTACTTCCCCCTGATGCTTGATGTACTGTGTGAGTGCAGACTACAGGGTGTTAATGAAACCATCATGATTACTAGGCTCACTTTGCTCCAAAGAAAAAGAACTGTACTTTTTAGGATCGTTTTTTGCACAATCATTGCAGAAACAGTGGGGCATCTGCACAAATATCCACTGTGCGATACTTGGGGAAATACACTTTCTAGAAACTGCCTTCCTAAAAAATGACATCATCAATCTTTCCACACAGGGCCCTAATACAAATGGATGATAAATTATAGGGAAAAAACAACAAAGTGTCTTAGTAGGTGCTGAGCCACCACATCCTGCCAGGATAACTTCAATGAGCCTTGGCACCGACTCTCAACTGGAGGGATTAAACACCGCTCTTGCAAAAGATATTTCCTCATTTGGTGTTTGGATGAGAACGTCATCTGACACATCAGTCTAAAATCTGCCACAGGTGTCCAATTTTGGGTTGACATCTGGTAATTTTGAAGGCCATAAGAAATAATTTACATACCTTTAATGCTCATTAAGTCATGCAGCGACTCCTCGTGTCCTTTTAATGGAAGCATTGTCATCCTCAAAGAGACCACTGACACTGGATAATTAGCCACTGAATAACTGAGAAATGGACCCAAAGCATGTCAGCAAACTGCTTCCCAGAGTATAACAGAGCCATCAGGTCACTGTTTTAACTTGTCACATGCCCCTTCTCAATGTCATATACACCAATGAGGCATAATATAAGGATGTAAATTAGTTAGCTGCAGACCAGTCAGGGTTCCCATGCTGATCTCCATCCAATTATGATGCATGTGAGCATCATAATTGGACCGTGGAGCAATCGAAGGTGGCCTGGTCTGATGGATGACTGTTTCTTTTACATCATGTGGATGGATGGGTGTTTGTACTTACCTGTGGAACACCTGGCACCAGGATGCATTATGGGAAGAAGACAAGCCAGCAGAGGCAGTGTGATGCTTTGGGTAATGCTCTGCTGGGAAACCTTGGGTCCTGCCATCCATGTGGATGTTACTTATGTCATGTGGCAGGATGAATGTTATTTCTCGGTTCAACCCACTTTCGGCCTGACGCATTAGGGGGGCGCTAGTATAAATAGTGGCCATTCCTGGATCGCTTACCTGTGATCTCCTTTTTGGTCACCTGACTTCCCTTGGTGTTGCAGAGATCATTTGCGGGTTACCCTTCTGAAGCCTCCATCGTGGCTGGAAGGTGTTTTGTCATTGTAGTGCGTACATTACCTTACTTGGTGGTAAACAGGTATTGTTTTTAGGTCGTAGAAGCCTCCTATGAGCCACTCTGCTCATGATTCGTGACGCTGTTTACTCAGTTTTGTTACGATCTCTGCCTTTTTTGTTCTTTTATAGTAAATACTTACTATGCTTTGCAGGAAGTGTGGGCCTTAGTTTTACAGAATGCTACGCTAACTGAAGTGCTGCTGCTTTGCTTTTACCGTCTGTTCCTGTCGCGAGGTTTCTTTTCCTGCTGCTGCCAGCCTTTTAAAGTGGAAGTCAGCGTGGACAGCGGCCATATGCATGCCGCTTATTAATAAATTGTCAAACTGTTTTATCATCGAACCTCGTCTCTGAGTATAACAAACCTAAGTGCCTTCTTGGTGATCAGTGTTACTTCCAGTATTCTTCTGGGTGAAATTCCCAGGGTGGCGTTGTCTTTTAAACTGTGAAGAGTATTTACTTTATTCCCACCTCGTGCTGCTACACTTATATACTATGTACCTAATCATTGTTTCAGACCATGTACACCCTTTCATGGATGGCTGTGGCCTCTTTCAGCAGAAATGGTTCAGCAAAGGTTCGAAAAGCACAGGGATGAGTTTGAGGTGCTGAATTGTTCTCCAAATTCCCCAGATCTCAAGCCAATCCTTCATCTCTCTAGGATGACAAACAAGTCCAATCAACGGAGGCCCAACCTCGCAAGTTGCAGGACTTGCAGGATCTATTGCTAACATGTTGGTGACAGATACCCCAGCACACCTTCAGGAGTCTAGTGGAGTTCATGTCTCAATGGGTCAGGGCGGTGAATCAAAAGTGAGACCAGGACCATATCAGGCGGGATGTCATAATTTTATGCCCGAGTGGTGTATTTGTATTTAGCGATACACATATTACTTGATTTTGCATACAAGTGAACACACTGTGTATTCCCACAGTGTAGTTTTTAGTGTACCAGTTGCACTCTAACTAAACTATGACCTTCTCCTAATTCAAAAAAAAAAAAAAGATGTGGCTTCTAAAATCAATGAAGCAACATATTTTTGTTAAAGAGCTAAAAAAAAAATAATCTAAACCAAATCAATGTAGTGAAAAAACTGTGGTCCCAAAAGGGGCATAAATCACATTCTCCTTGGTAACAGTGTTATAATTTGACAAAACAGCACTATTGCATTTGGAAATGGTTTGGTTTAACTATAAGTGACAAAGTCCTCTAAGGGGTGTAATAATTATAACATGGGGCAAAGAAGGAACTGAGGTGGCATTAACCGAACATCAGATATTAACACGTACGACTGTTGTTCATTTCCCTATTAACTCAAAGACCACTGTCTAACCTTAATCACGCACACCTGGCATAAACCACAATTTGGCCCATCAAACAGAAGTGCTTTAACTGGGGGGAGGTGATGTGCTGTTTCACATCAAATTTATTTTAAGCTCTGACTTTCAATTTACACTTTCCTGTGGCACTAAGGAGCCATGTACACTGGCAAGCTTTTGAGATTTTGGTGTGATTAGTGAGTGCGAGGTGCGAACGTGGATTAATCCAGAGCGGAAAACACCAGCAAAGCCAGCTGAAGCGACATACAGTCCAGAGGAAAAGCTGCATCTTTAGAGCAACGGTGTGCTCTAAAATACATAATAATGCATATGGTCCCCCTTTGGGATATTAAGCATGTGTAATGCAGTGATATCAATGGCTCCTACAGCGAATCAAGTTGTTTCCAGAGGAGGAGGGCAGACATGCCTCGTTTGCTCAAGGAAACTTGGCCCGCGGCAGCGCGACTGCTGCCATGCAGAGCAGCGCAGTGACTGGTCCTTGGACAGCAAAGTGTTACGTTTGCAGTATTTTAAATCTCTTTAAAGATTCAAAGGCATGTGTAGAAATGCTGAGCAGATGGCTGTTTGGGAAGGTTTGTGTGTGGTGGTCTCAGTATCAGGGGGAGGGCTGCTGTCCAAACCCCAGCCACTGATCTAATGGATGAAGTGAGTCATACCCACCTTCAATGTGAACACAACCATCTCCATCAAACACACATGGGCCAGCACAATAAGCCGCATTCATACAACAATGTTTTTCTGGTCACCTTTTTTGTTTTTGTGCACTGTTTTCTACTACGGTGCATTCACATCTGTTTCCAATGTGTCCTCCTGTCTTTTCATTAGGTCGACTCTTAACGGGCCACTGGAGTCAAGCACCTGCTTTTCAAAAAACGCAGTAAGAGTTCAACTATTGCCAAGGCCATTGTGTCAGTAAAAAGCCTCTCACGTAGATGATGAAACACTCAACGTTTAAACAGTTTTTTGTTTTGTTTTATAAATCAAAGCAACTGTGCAGCATTTGCCTTTAATTGGAGCCATTTTAGGAGGAGTTCTTGCCATGTGCTTGGTGCCCTCACAGACTGTTTTAATTTGCAAAATCCTCAGATCATAAGACTGAATGCTGTGGTAGTTTCAAGAAGACAAAATGCTTGGTTTCACTTTTGCAATTTCACATTTCAGTAAATTAAAAACACCACTGGTAGTGA